CGCCATTATGCCACCTGGCGTCCTAGCCTTGGTCGCAAATTGACCAAGTCGAAGGCGTCGTGGAAGCATACGGGATTGCCGATCATACTGGTCAACTTGTGTGGAAAGTGACCATGCATTGGTGTGCGCGACAGTTTGCGTGCGCTTCATTAGCTCCTAGGGGTCAAACGAACCCGACTGAACATTTTCAAATTGGAAAATCTTGCAGTACCAACAGAGTATCAACAGTGGCTTCGTGAGAACCTTGCTCCCTTCTCTTCTCTGGATGCTGACCAGCACTGGTAAGGCTTGCAAAACGCCATGCTGTCTGCAGGTTTATGCAGCTGCTGTTTCGTCCGCTGCACAGCAAACTGCTGAATCTCGGCAACTTCCTCGGAACTTCTAGATCGTCGACGCCCGTGCTTACCGGCGCGGAACACAATGGAATCCGTCGGTCTATTTCTCTACAGCTGAAGGCAAGCCTTCGCTCTTACCATGAGTCCTGGTGGTCTAGGCGTGCTGCTGTGATGGAAGCCTCTACATCGGTTGTAAACTGCCGCAGTTTGTTTCGCCCCATCAAGGCCACTGGTTGCAATTCACGCGCCATCAGTCAAACAATCTGTGAGTTAGACGGTACAAAAATCACCAACCTGCAGAAGCGATTTGAGTGCTGGGCAGAGCACTTATCTCTTCAATTGAAGTACCCAGCACAACCCTTTATGACACCTCTATCTCCATCGGATGGTGATTGACCTGTCCCCACTGACCCTCCTACCGAGGTAGAAATCCGAAGCGCAATCCGCTCTTTGCAACGGCATAAAGCTCCCGTCCCTGACAGTCTTCTTCCGGCTCTTTTCAAACGCGGCGGGGATTTATTAGTCAACGAATTACCCTCACTTTTCACGAAGGTTCGGACTGATGTGTATATCTCCTACTCATGGGGAGACTCAATCGTAGTCCCGCTTCACAAGAATGGCCCCTGCAATGATTGCACTAATTACCGCGGAATCTCGCTGATCTCAATTGCTTCCAAGATTTTTTGTATCCATCTTACTTCGCTTGCTTTCCTCCACCAGAGAGAGTTTTTCCTGGGTAGAACAAGCCGGTTTTCACCCAGGCTGGAGTTGTATTGATCAAACGATCTACGCCACGTCCACCGTCTGCCAACAATCGTAGTGTTCTTTGACATTCGTGCGGCATTCGATTCAGTAGACAGAGCTGCTCTGTGGTATTGTCTACTAAGGAACGTTGTGCCCGACAAATTTGTCGCCATTTTAAGGAAACTGTACAGTCACACGTCGGACAAAATTAGGGCTTATGGCCAACTTTTCTCTTACTGTCACCAGCGGTATTCCCCAAGGTTGCCCTATTTCGCCTTTCCTTTTCAATAACGCCACCCATGATGTCGTGCAACAAGCGCTAGAAAGTGTCCAGATTTGCGCTGTTGAGCTTCTTTCTGGCGCCAGAATCGCAGACTTGGACTGCCTCGATGACATTGCTTTGCTGGGTGACGATCTGCAAACCGTCTAAAGCATCTTTAACCGCTTAGCGATTGGTACATCTAATTATGGCTTATGTTTCACCCCAGCCAAATGTAAAGGACTATTTCAGGATTGTCAGGGCATACGTCCGCGCTCACCATTACTGGTGACATGCTGAAACAAGTGCATTGCTTGATGGCGGTATTGGAGATGAGGTTTCACAGCGCATTGCAAAAGCCCGCCTTGCTTTCATCAAACTGAGACATCCATGGGGTCGTCGTAATGTCAGTCTCAAGCTCAAGGGCAGAGTGTACAATGCGTGCGGTCCTGCCGTACGGCTGTGAGACCTGGCCTGTTTGCTCCGAAGGCATGAGTCGACTGTCAGTTTTTGACAACCATTGTTCGCAGAGGATTGCTCGTGTGTGTTGGTAACATCACATAAGCAATACGTAGGTTCGTGATCGAGTGCTTGGCGCGAACAGTTCCAGCCTTCAAAACGTTCTCCGAAACCGCATGCGTTAGCTCGACCACGTACTGCGGATGGCAGCTCATCGCTTTACTCGGCGAGCGTTATTCGAGCTTTCTGGAAGCAGTTGGAATGTATATATATATATATATATATATATATATATATATATATATATATATATATATATATATTCTTGATGCTTCTTCACCGCAGTTGGGCTAAACCAACTTACACTTAAACTAGGTCTTATTAAGCTGGCTAAATTTCATTCCTCTTTATTTGGTTTGTTCTGCTTACCCGAATAATCTATTAACTGGCCACGTTGCTTACACTAATTGCGCTTATCTTCGATAACTTTGTTGCGTTTGTAGCATTTTTAAGTGACTTGTGGACCTTTTTTCCTTATCGCGGATTCGTCGCTAACCAAATTACTTCATATGCTAATTTAGCGAAGAGTTGTGCCACCGTATCTGTATGCATTATTGGATTTGTTTTATTTCATCTTGTCGTTTCAAGTGATTGGCTGTTGTTTGACATTCCCGGTGTGGCTGCGCTGGATGTGCATGTTGACAAGGTGCCTACCTGTCTATTACCCACTACCTCGTCCATACTGGCTCCAGGAGACAGTTGGTCGTTGCTGGAGGGGACGAAGTACACGGTCTTTGTGGCCGTGCTACGCTCGAAGAGCGGTTCCATGTACTGTGTAGAGCGGACTACGGTCCAGCCACCGTCTTGTGTGCATTGGATTCCCCAAATGCAACATGCTTATTTTTACCTGTGAAGGAGTGTGGGCCGGCTCCTTTGATGAAACGTGGCTCCCATCCGCATGCCTCCCGGTCTTATTCCTTCGGGTTTACACTAAATATGGGAGCTATGGGTGGTGCAGCGCAAGGCACCCATGGTCTCTCTGTAGGCGCAAGCGTCCTGTAGCTGTCCCTGTGGAGGCCACAGTGACAGGCAAATCTGAAACCGGATGCCGTCAAGATGATATATATATATATATATATATATATATATATGCGACTGAAGATGTCCTGTTGAGAGCTTTAGAAAGACCAGAGTTTTGGTAGTGAGCTGCTTCCAGACAATCGCGCAACTGACTTAGGTTGCGCTGATGATATCGCTTTGCTTGGTGACGGTTCTCATGGTATGCAAGTGTTTCTTGACCGACTGGTAGTTGAAGCGTTTAGTTATGATGTATAGTTTGCCCCCTCGTCGTGTAAGGTGCTGTTTCAGGATTGGCAAAACCCCTTCCCCAGCTCAACGTCTGGGGCAAATAGGTCGATTAAGTGGGTAGTTTTGTCTACCTAGTGAGCTGCTGTAGAGTAGGTATCCTTTACTATCACAAAAGCCGGTTACCTTTTACCAACCTGAGATATTTGTGGAATCGTCGCGATATTTCCCTTGCGTTAAAAGGCGGGGTCTACAATACCAGTGTGCTCACGGTACTATTGTATGCGTGTGGATGATATGCGTAGCTTTTCGGCCTTTGGCAGCGGCAGTTTGCGAATGATCACCCATGTTTATTGGTAAGATCGACTTCACAATGATGATGTCAGACACTGCGTCTTGGGCATGATGGGTCTTCCGCTCTGTGAGTTTGTTCTGATGCTCCACTTGAAATGAGTTGGCTGCGTCCTACGCATGCCTAGCGAGCGTTTACCACGCTGCGTCTTATTTGCGCTCGCAGGGCCATATCGGAAGAGGCGACGAGGTGTCTAGCGGAGCACTTGGCGTGAAAACATGATATCATTTACATCTTGCCTAGCAGTTGTACGTACGTCTTCCTGGTTGGAGACCCAAAAATGAAGGGTGAAGTTGACTTATAATTTTATAATTATTAAAGCAATGGCCCAAAACCGGATGCAGCGGAAACAAGTTCGCGTTAATTGTTGGTTTAAAAAGCAATTACTCAAAAATGGAAAATAGTACAAAATTGTTTGTGTTCGGAGCAAAAATAATCGCGCTCTTTCTTTCCTCTTGTTATTGGTTATTCTTTCGGGTGTTGTACAGCTTACTATTTTTTGATTCCTATCTCCATGGTTTTGAGTTACTCGATCTGTATTCCTATGGACTGATGTCAGCATGTCGAGCGCCGGTCGCCTCATCATTACCTAATGAATGATACTTGGTTTTACGTTCCCTCTTGTGTTCAGACGAAACCCCGGTTATCCGATACTATGTTGACTTGATACGATGTAAGCTCACACTTACTGCTTATGTGCCATTCACAGCGTGTATCTGCCAATGGTTATGGAGCTCCTTATGGGAACTCCGATTAAACCAAGAACCGCATTTCCTGAGATGCTCAGTTACTTCAGTTCAATGGGGATAACTACTTTCGTTAATATGTTCATTCGAAGACTTTTGGAAGACACTGCTCTGTTCATCTCTTCACGTTGTCGCACTAAACCTTGTGATCTCGATGAAAACACTTCTGAAGAGCTTACTAACCTTCAACCTATTGAGGTGACTGAATCTTCCATCTTCCGATACCTTTTATCATCATACGAGGTGCGTCGTTTATGTGGCGTAAGTCATGGTCATAAGATGCTGCGTCCGATAGTCAGGTTGATCTAGAAACTGGACTCACGCTCAATGGTTATTGAGCCATCCAACATATTTTCAACGATCCGACACCTTAAGCCACTCATTTTACTCAATTTCTAAGTATTTTCCAACATCAATTTATGCACGTCTATGATCTTTCTCGCCATATGACATGCTGCGGTATGTTGCCAACACCGCCTACCGCCATTTATTTATCTCTATATTAGTTCCTTCTTTACGTCATCCACCTTGATAGCTGCGGCCATCTCACTTGCTTCTCATTCTTTTCTTCGTCTCACGAGGTTTTTAGCTGGTATCCGGTTTCCTTCACATTAAAGCACACAAACACTTGCGCACACCTGTTGCTACATATTTTCCCGTTGTTATAGCCAGCCTGGCCGTTTCAAAACAGTGATTTTTTCTGTGCCTTTATGTTGCCATTTTTCTTCAGTTCTCCTTGCCCATCGTTCTGCTCTATCTCCAGCTTTCAATGCATCGGATAAACATTTTTCCTTTTTTAGTTAACGGAGCTCAGTCTACCGTTCTCGTTGTGAGCAACGACAACAACAACCCGGTGCGATCACCTATCATTCAGCCGTACACCGCGATTGATATGGAGTCTTCTGTACGCAATGATAGACGCGATATCTTGTACGCTGCCCGTGGACGTCAGATCGAGGCTCTACAGGCTGATCTTTCTCAACTTCATTCAGAGGCTGCCAAGGAAAAACGAGTAGCCGCTCATCGATTGATGCTTGCCGAAGGTTGTTGCTTTTTTGCATAACTGTGATTGCCCTCAGTTTCTAATCTTTTTCTGGCGCTGTTTGCATCATTCCTGCATGACATCCTGACTTATAGCTCTATATAGTGTCTCTGGTAATGCTGTTTTTCACTGTTTTTCAACTTTCGCCAGTTGAGTTGTAACAAGCAAGCGTTCAATGACAGACTAGGGAATGACCAGCATCTCCACTTCAGCCCACGAATCAGATTATGACACTTTTCTACACATCGCTCAAACGCGACAAACTGGCCTAGTATTCAGTTCAGTTCATTTCGATTGAACAACTATCGTTCGGGCACCGAACTTCAGTGGATCCATCAGCCACGACTCGTCACCAGAACAACACTACAAACGACGGCAGCGAAACGAAGTTGAAAGCCGATTTGATGTAAAGAAAATGAAAACAAGAAGGAAATGCGTTTGACTCATCGAGATGGATTGAAAATTAACAACTAGATGCAAGGCACCGAATGCATGAACGCCACTGACTGCGCGACTGCGTCATGTCCGACACAGTCCTTCACCATTGGTGTAGCCTATCCCGGTCAACTTTTTGATGCTTTTACGCCACATCATGGACCATCCACTCTGCGGTTTCGCCCAACTTGATGCAATGACGGCCTATAACGCACACTGAGGTAGTCGGTCAGGACATGACCTGGCGAATGTAAGTGGTTGAGCTTATGGAAACACTCAAGTGAGGCACCAGAAAGCTTCTTACCAAAGCCATTTGCGGACCCTCAGTATTGCTCGCCCGGTGTTCCCTCTAGATGTGAGCAATGCTCCCCAAGTGCCGGTTGTCAGACACAGCCAAGTCTTTAATTGTCTTCGCCGCGGACTTGCCAGCCCTCTGATCTATGCAGTAACATCTGTCTTAACGTTACACACTCCTTACTTCACTCTGGTGGAGTCTTGTATTCCAGCAATCCGATGCCGAAACTGTTGGAACGATTGGGAGCCTGTTTGGTAGCCGACCGATCGAAAGGCGTGTGAACTAAGTAATCAGTCACCGGCTTCCAATGGGCGCGATTCCTTGGATTCTCTCCGCTGCCTTGTGGGTAGCCTATTCATCCAAAGGCTCTGGATGGTATCCCCTAAGGCAACGCCCTACCTCAGCTTGAGCAAACGGGCAGTATGTCGCCCGCTCATAAAACCCTGGGTTCCGAAACTGCCACTACGTCGCCCTTCTCTTCTCTTGCACTCTCCACTGCTTACGCACATCCATGCCGCTTAGTTTGTTAAAATGCAATGCTGTAATTTTTTCACTGCACAGGAGCAATCGATATCAACAACTTCAACAATTTCCGGAACTCTACATCGATGGCGATGGTTGCACTCTGTCACAGTGGTAATGTACTTGGGTGTTATGCTAAGCTACGATTGTTTTGGTCACACTATACAAACGAAACGTTCACATAAGTCCGGAGGTTATCGCTCTATGCCTCACGACTGCGAGCTTCCTCTGTCCCTCATGATTTGATACTTCGCTTGGTCACTGCTTGTGTTCTTCTACGCTGGACGTACTACTCACCAGGGTTTTTTCCTGGTCTATTGGACAAAAACTTTAGATTAATCTCCAGGTCGTTAAAACACTTGTCACGATTGACTTTGACTTTGATGCAGCGGTGTATCAAAGCTGACGTGTGTTAATATGCTTGTATCCACTCATGTTGGTTTTTGCAAGAGGCTAGCATCAACGGTACTTACCCATACCAACACCCGTTCATTGTGTATTGTCGGAATGTGTCATCCTCGTCAATCGCGAAAAAATGCAAATCCATATATGCCTGTACACGATCTTGCCATTTGTCAGTTATTCCTTACCTAGCGCGATTCTCGCTAGACCAAAGCGAAGTTAACGACGAATTAACCAACCGCATTGTGCTGTGATGCTATTGTTTTCCAATCATTGATTCACTTTGGCTTGCATTTGTACTTTGCTGCATCGCTGAAAGCGTGTGTTTTACGGCTGAATATTCACCCATTATGGGTGAATTAAACACTTCTTTGATTTCACTGCTTCCGATGCCAGTCTCATCAAAGTCCAAAGAGTCCGGTCAATGACCTTCTTTCGACGTTGGTCTTCATTCCGACTGGCAGCCTTCAACTTTCGAGCCCATTTAATGAACGGACAACAGACTCTCCTAGCGCGCACCCTCGCTATGTATGTGCTGTCTTTTTGAGGCTCCGGTACAGGACTTCAGCACCGTTGTTAAGTTCATGTCCCCTGCTGATCTCGGAACCAAATACTTTCTGCGTCTGTCTGGTGACACAGAGGTAGCTGCAACTGGTTTAACTGGTGTTGACATCCCTTTGAGTATCAAAGCTGCGGGCTTGATTGGTTCCCGATCTACAGCCGCTCGTGTGCGGTTCGACTTAAAGGCGCATGCAGGATCAACAGACATCTTATAGAATGACGCAATTTGCTTGTGGTCTCCGCCTGCGCTCCAATTGATTGCAGTTATGCATCGGTCAAGGACTACTTTTATCGCAGACTCCACCAGATTTTAAGTAAAGCCGAAAAATCTGATGTCATCGTCCTTCCCAGAGACTTCAATGCATGGGTCAGACGCCTGCTGCCGTGCGAACGACATCTTGGTAGCCGTCATGTCCTTGATAACAGTCGCTCTGATAACGGAAATAAACTTGCGTTATGTGACAACAACCGCGACGAGACTGGGCCTTGACATATTGCGATGTCTTGTGTACCTCCGTAATCCATTGAGCTATGCTGGGTGATGCTTCTTGCACCTTCAGATCCACCCATATCAGATTGATCAATGATTAGAGGTCTAACAAACTCAGGCTCCTAACCCCCAGATTTACGGTTGGAGTGAGGATGGCTCCTTGCTCCATAAAATGGACTCTGTAGCCTAGCGCCAAAACCCCGCTGCCTTCCGATCAGATTTTTGTACTAAAGGCTTTGGTTGAGACCATCGCAATGAGGCTGGACCTTACCGTGATGCGATGGTTTGTGTGCCTCAGTGATCCATTGAGCTATACTGGGTGGTGCATTTTTGCACCTTCAGAGCCACTCATACCAGATTGGTCAATAGTTAGAGACCAGACAAACTCAGCCTCCTGGTCCTCCAGGTTGGAGGTTGGAATGAGGGTGGCTCCTTATTCCTTAAAACGGACTCCTTGTAGCCCAGTGCAAAACCCGCTGCCTTGCGGACAGGTTTTTGAACCAAAGGCTTTGGTTGAGAACCCTAATCGTTCTCCTGTCTAGGCCTGGGCCACCTGACAGTATCCTGCCCACGCAATAGAATGAATCTCACTTCAAACAAATTTCTGATGCTCTGGCCACTGCAGAGGATAATCAACGGTGCCCTATCTGCTGCATCGGGCAGGGTGGATAGGGGTTTGGATGCTACTGCTCATGCCTTCCCGTCTTCTTATTGCCCCTCTTGCGCTTTTTCACCCTTATCGTCCCGTTCCAACTTCACTTATATCCCCCAAGTTTTCAACCCCCCAAATCTCGGCCCTCCCCCACCTTGCTTCAATTGTCGCTTGTCTTATAGTTACAACTCACATGTGAACGCGGAGCGTCATTCCTGCACTGTCAACAGGCCCATGTCCAAGCAAGCGGCCCATTCCAGTTCATCGGCTTCCATTTGGAGCCCTCGATCCTCCTTCAGATTGGCATGCCTCAATGTACGCACATTGCTTCAGATCGGTCAACAGGCAGCACTTGCCCGAACATTGGAGGCCCTCTTGATCGATACCTGCTGCTTATCAGAGACCCGCCTGCAAGACTCGAGCTCTGTACTCACTCTGCGATCCCCTTCAAGTGACACTAGCAGCACTTTCTCATTGCGCCTATCCGGTGACGATACAGCTTCGAGCACTGGCCAAGCCGGTGTTGGTATTGCCCTGAGTCCCCGGGCTGAAGCTACTTTGGTTGATTGGATTCCAATCAGTAGCCGGATGTGTGCGGTCCGATTGGCTGGCACGTTCAAAGCTTCGAAGTCGCGTGGGACTAACAGGCGTCTGTTCGCTATCACTGCCTATGCACCGACAAACTGTAGCGATGACTCGGTAAAAGACGACTTCTATCGTCAACTAAACGAGCTCCTTAGCCATAGAAGAAGCTCGGACACTGTGGTGCTGGCCTCGGATCTGAACGCTCAGGTTGGAAAATTATCCACAGATGAGCTGCATCTGGGCGGCCAACATGGCGTAGGCTCCCGTAATGATAACGATGAGCGGTTACTTCATTTGTGTAAGGATGGTCGCTTATTTCTTTCGAGCACTAATTTCCGACACAGCACCCGCCAGAGGGTGACTTGGTGCCCACTAGCCTCGAACCAGCTATGGACGCAAATCGATCACATTGCGATAAGTTACCGATGAAGAGACTGCGTCCAGAACTGTCACTCGATTTGGAGCACAGGCGTGGACACCGGCCATGCACTTGTATGTGATGACCCGCGGATGCGCTTTGGCGACCGCCCACGACGACGTTGTGAGCGCATTGACACCAGCCAACTGGCTAAGCCAGCTGTTCTGAATGCCTATCAAAGTACGCTGTCATGCGAGTTGGATAAACGCTCACTGGATGCAATTGAAGGTCACTGGTTTCATATTCACCAGACCTTACTAGCAGCAGGCAAATCCTCATGTGGTATGTCTAATCGCCAACATGGACATTGGGTCCCTTCGCGGTCTTTGGAACTTATAGATGCTCGCCGGCATATTCCGGCTGGAAGCGAACACAATGAAACTCGCAAAGAGCTCCGGGCAAAACTCCGTGCTAGTCTGAAGAGAGACCGTGAATCCTGCCGGTCTCATCGTGCATCAGAGATGGAAATGGCCGCTGCCCTTGGTAACCATCGTATATTATTCCGTCTGATACGGGAAACGGGCAGCAGGAGACCTGGTTTTAGTGAAACTATGCGTGACGAGAGTGGACAGCCTATCCACAACGTATCAAAACGCTTAGGGCGTTGGGCTGAGCACTTTAAAAGATAATTTAATCGGTCG